CAGTCATAAATGATTAATTAGGATATACAGTGTTCAAATTAATTCACTTCGCGGGGCCTCCTCCTGTCTTGACTGAGACCCGCCAGCTGAGAAGTTAGACCCGCCAGCTGAAACCCGCCGGCCGCCGCGGGCTAAGGCCTGTTCTCCTGGCGACCACGCTTTTTGCAGCACCTAATGGGCCTCTATCAACTGTGGTCGAGATTACAGAAGCAATATGTAAGTGGTGCCATCTTCACGGCGCCATTCAGATTACTCGAAATTAATATAAATTTAAATTCAGTGATGGGGATATTTACTCTGATTTAGGTACAACTAAACCAAATACGTGAAGAATATATTTAAGGAGTACCTATATTTGAGTGAACGTACTCAGATTTAGTTTAAATATATTCACAAATGAGTAAAATGATCAAAATGCCCAATATTGAGTGAAAATGTACTCGACAATTTCACTCAATAGATTCACTCCGAACTCTTATTGCTTTCACTCCCACCGATTTTTTTTTACAGTGAATGTGTGTATTTTTTANAACTGTAACGTATTTAACAGCTGAGATACAGACATGTTCAAAAGTGTCACAATAACGAGAAACGCCCTGTAATTCAGAAACAAATGAAGATAGCAAATTTTTGATTTTGAATTTACCATGAAAATCGAGCTCGAGAACGTGGTATCAGATTTATCATATCTTTAGTAGTTTCTGAAATACCCTGAAATACCACCGAAAATGGACCAGCCTGTACACTGTAAAAAAATGCATTCAATTTTACTCAATCACATTCTGTCCACACCCGATTGAGTGAAATTTTCACTTTCGTAGTATGAGTACAACTGAGGGAAACTATAGCATCAGAAATGAGTGAGTTACTGCTAACTATCAATTGAGCGACTTTTGACTCTATTCTGAGAATAATGTATAAAACCAATTTAGAGTTGACTTTTTCTCAAATATGACTTAAATTTAACTATTATTGAGTAATTTTTTACTCAGACTTGGTTTTTAATTAACTAAATATTGAGTGCAAAAATAAATCAGTCATAAATGATTAATTAGGATATACAGTGTTCAAATTAATTCACTTCGCGGGGCCTCCTCCTGTCTTGACTGAGACCCGCCAGCTGAGAAGTGAGACCCGCCAGCTGAAACCCGCCGCCGCGGGCTAAGGCCTGTTCTCCTGGCGACCACGCTTTTTTGCAGCACCTAATGGGCCTCTATCAACTGTGGTCGAGATTACAGAAGCGATATGTAAGTGGTGTCATCTTCACGGCGCCATTCAGATTACTCGAAATTAATATAAATTTAAACTCATTCAGTGATGGGGATATTTACTCTGATTTAGGTACAACTAAACCAAATACATGAAGAATATATTTAAGGAGTACCTATATTTGAGTGAACGTACTCAGTTTTAGTTTAAATATATTCACAAATGAGTAAAATGATCAAAATGCCCAATATTGAGTGAAAATGTACTCGACAATTTCACTCAATAGATTCACTCCGAACTCATTGCTTTCACTCCCACCGATTTTTTTTACAGTGAATGTGTGTATTTTTTATTTATACACACTTCTATATTGTTGGTATTCCTATTTAGGTAAATTTAGTGTATGAGTAATTTTGTTCTTTATAAATTTAAACTTCAATGTAATTATAATTTTTATTGACAAACAAACCATGTTGAACGTACATCAATAGTTATAATTCTCTTTTAAACGACCATCTCAATTTAGTGACCAACTTTTGATTCCCCTAGGGTGGTCGGTATTAGAAGCTACTGTATAAAGCTAGGAATCCCATATCATATATCAGTACCGTAGAGGTAAATAGTCGTAAGTCCACTTTTTGGCAAAATTGAGTTAATATGGTTTACTTCATTCTTGGTTTAAGTATGTCATTGTGGTAAAACATGGTAACTCCAAATTTACTGGTTGCCTACATTTTCAAGTTAGAATAAGTAGTAAGTCCAATTTTGCAACGAGGTAAACAATAGTATCTCCGGGACTGCCATGTTCACAGGCAAAACAACAAAATAGTAAACAGTTGTAAGTCCAGTGCGAACGCCGTTTTTCGTGTTTATGTTTACTGTGTTTATTTTTATAATTACCTGTGTGTTTAGCAATTGATAATTATGTCTTGTAATAACAAAGGACGTAAATTTTTGCGAAAAATAGTTGGTAACCGAGTGTGTAAGATGATGGATCAAATAGAAAGGCAGAGTATTGACGGTAAGTGAGGTTATAGGTTATATTTTGTGTTATATTGGTTTAGTTTAGCTTGTTATTTTTGATTTGCTATTAGAAATAGAACCAGTTTTATTGTATTCATATAAAAAGCTTAAATATTTGGTTGAGCTGCTAAGTAGGTAGGTAATGCAAACAAAATATCAACAAATGGACATACGGTCTTTTACCATTACCGTGATTTGTCTTCTGTAATCTATCGGAGTTAAATTTATCTGCTAGTGTAGAGTAATGATAAATGAAATAAATGTAAAAAAGAGCTTTAATGCAAAACTATAAGTAACGTTAATCGTTCTTGAATTTTAAAGTTTAAAATCTAATAAAATAATTTTGGCATTGGTGTTTTTTATTTTTTTCTAGATTCATCAGATTTGAACTTACCTGCTGCTGGAATCATGCTTACTGAAGAAAGCGACAACCGGACCTTAATGCCGGACTCTAATAATAATGGTATGTGTTATTTTTTTTTTATATTTTGTATTATAAGTTTATTTTACATGATTTACATGATATTGTGTGAATGAGCATTAGTAATTTTAAAATATTAATCTTTTTCAGATCCGCCATCAACTTCTGGATACTTTGCTGCATCCCACTCTAAGCTTAGCATTCAACAATTGGTTGACTACAGTGATGACAGCGATAGGGACCCAAACTATATTCCAAGCGACGAAAGTACTGATGACGACAATGCCGTCAATACCAATACGGTTTTTTGTAATGTTGAAGGCAGTAGTGAAATCCAGCATGACAAGACTGATGAAGTCAACAACATGTCACAAATACATGAAATGAGCACTAAAATTCAGCAGCCAAAAAAACGTATGCGGAGAACTGAAACATGGCAGGTCACTAAAAGGTCTGCAGCAACTCGAGCAGGTCTTGAACATATATCAAAATCAGGCAAAAAAAAAGGGCAAAGTCTTTAAAACCAGGATGTGCGTCGTGTAGGAAAAACTGCACACAAAAAATCAATGATGAAACTCGGCAGCAAATATTTAATGCCTACTGGAATGAACAAAAAACATGGGATCTAAAGAGACAATTTGTCCGTTCTCATATTATGACAAAACCAACTGAACGGCATAGACCAAAGGATAATAGTAGAAGTGGGCAACGCAAACAGGCTATTTTATACAACTTTGATATAAAAACAGGAAACCATCTAGAAAAAATAGAAGTTTGCAAAACGTTTTTCTTAAATACATTGGCAATATCAGAAACAGTAGTTCATAATGCTTTAAAGAAAGATGTGAGCGGTGGATTTGTCACTATGGATATGCGAGGACGTCATGTTCCACCGAATAAACTTTCCAATGATGTACTTAATAATATTCGTGTACATATAAACAGTTTTCCTTCTTATGAAAGCCACTATTCCCGCCAAAAAAGCTCAAAAAAATATCTTGGTCCTGAGCTTAACAAAGGAAAAATGTATAAATTATATTTAACTAAATGTGAACAGGACAAACTTCCTAAAGACCAAATTGCTAAGTTCTGGGCCTATAAAAAAATTTTAAATTCTGAATTTAATGTAGGTTTCAAAACTCCTTCAGCCGATACGTGTGACAGTTGTGATAAGTTTATTTTGCAGCTAAAGGAATCCGCCAATGATGCCCAAAAGTCTACTATCCAAGAGCAATACAGTAGTCATCTTCAAGATGCTGACGTGAGATATAAACTTAAAAAAAGTGATAAAGAAGTAAGCAGAAACTCACCTACAACAACCNTATCGAGATGATTCTTTTTTTAATTTGTGGTAGCGTGAAAATTCATGAGCATTGAAGCTATGGTATTAACATTATTTCAACCCGAGATTTAATTTTTTATTTAGCCTTGCTCTTCCCACTCGTTCGCTAGACCGAGTAATAGAACGCATCGCCACTATCTTCTTTTTTGCAATTAAATACGTCGTTGAATTTCACATTAATATTAATGTAGGACATGAAAATATAGCTCTTAATGCATACTCTCTCCAAATCGGCTCTTAATAATTAAGGGCACTGCGATTAAATAAAAAAAAAAAAGTCTCAGCTTCGAATCAACTTAGAACAACGTTTTTTTTTAAGTTCGAAGAAAAATGGTACTAACTAAACTATAGACGTTACTA